AGATAACAAAACTTCTCCACTCACTCTATTACTTCCCCAGTTAGGGTGAGGTTGGATGCTGGACTAATTCGGTCTTGTAGTAGTATTTTACATTTTGAGGGCAACCCTGACGAACACCGCTTTCCGTGATGAGTTCGGGTGAAAACGTGCCGTAAGGTCGGGCTCGGCTTCGGCTATGAGTATAGAGGGATCCTAATTTTGAAATAAACTTCTCGGGCACATCCTTTAGGGAAAGACAGCGTCAGAGTCTAGAGCGGTCGACTGAATCTAAGGCCGCTTTCAAATCGAGAAAGACTGTACCCAGGAGTTTCGGTAACTCCGAAACCAAGGCTATACCTCCCTTCTTAAAAACGGATGGGGAGAGCCCGTCTGGCCCGTAGGCCTTATGCCTTTTGAGATAGCTTATTTCCCGGGAAATCTCCATTTCAGATGGAGCGCTGGCATCAACTGGCAGTATTTGTGCATTCGCGGTTGAGGGTGATAGTTCAGATGTCGATTTGGCCAGTTGAACTGAGCCTCGAACTGTTCAGCCCATCAGTCAAGACGACGTTGCTGATCGTGAATCAGTGTGCCATCGGATTCCTTAATTACCTCACGCATATTTTCCTGGGGCCCGACTATTACCAATCACCGCAGCCTTCTTCATCTCTCTAGATTTTCCTATCCACCAATTCTCGCGGTCATTTCTCAGACTCTTGCTGAGCTGGCGTTTGAGGGATTTGCGCGCTGTCATATGCGGCAGCAGGAGGAAGGCTTCTGCGGGCGTCCAGTAGGGCAGCCGAGGTCGATGAAATCCATCGTTTGTTTTTTGCGCCTGCGCGAGGGTCTGACGTTGGTTTTATTGATATTTGCATAGCTTCCTTGATTTGTTTCTTGTGTTCATTAAGTCCTTTGGTTGCTGGTTGAACTGACAGGCGATCGGAGAGTTCCGCTTCGAATGCAACAATCGCTGCAGTTGTATCGTGGGTATCCGTTTTCGGTGGCTTTTTTGCGGTTGTTTTCCAGGCGTAAGAAGAATTTGGCTCGCAGCGGTTGTTTTCCAGGCGTAGGAAGAATTTGGCTCGCAGCAAAACGTGGTCCGTATCCACAGGTGTAGACCAGTAAGAGCGGCAGTCTTGAATCGATCCCTTGCTGCGGTAACTGATGGCGATGTGGTCAATTTGGGTCCAGCGCTGTGAAGATGTTGGTGATTTCCATGTGAGCGGTATTGTTTCTTATGCGAGAAGTTGGTGCTTGATAGGAACAATCCGTGGTCCGCACAGAGTTGAAGTAGGCGATCGCCGTTGTCCGTCCGATCGTCTAGGATTGCTTGTGGTCCGCCAAGAATCCTTTCTGATTCGTCCAGGGATCCTACTTTGGCATTGAAGTCTCCCGTGATTTCCACGATGTCCATTCATCGAACGCTTTTCAGTGATCGAGAAAGGTCCCTATAGAATTCATCCTTGATTTCAGGTTTACTGCAATCGGTCGGTGCATATACTAACACGCTGAATAGGCGACGACGCTTCGTTCTGCAGCTAATGACTGGCGCTGAACCGTTGAGACGTACGGCGCAAAGTCGGCTACTGATGGGAATCCAGTCAAGGAGCGAGCCTTCAGCCTTGGCACTTAGCGCAATCTCGACACCAGCAACACCGCGAGCTTAGGACGCCGAATCCCCTGACACACGAACGGTGAAGCGTGAGGTTGAGGTTGGATCAGGAGAACACAGATAGATAATGGACGTGGGGTCTTGTATGCGTGTTTCCAAGACACAGCATACATATAAATTGAAAGTTTCAAAGGTTCTAGTTACGGCAGCTTGTTAACCGATCTGATAGAGTGTGCGGACATTGAACGCGGCTAAGTGAAAAGGGAATTTCAGCTTCAAAAATCCGATTGTTTGGACTTGTTGGTAAAGCGCTAAGAGATAGACAATGGGTCTTGTAAACAGCAGGCGTTTGGGATTGAGAGGAAGAACTAGACAGATGAGAAGGAGGGTTTTCCAAATGGGTGCCTAAGATTTTAGGGCACGAAATACTTCGCGGTAGCCCACACTGACGAACAGGTTTTTCTTTGGGAACCCTAACCGGAGCCTCCGACTCAAAAGTCTTACTCACAAATCAGCAGGGCGTGAACGAAGCACCCGTGTGAGAGCGTCTGGAGACCTGTCACGCAAGGCCTTCGGATTTCGGTTAAGTTTCTTGTTCGCTGGTTCGTTGATTATCGGTCCGCTTTCCGGGATCGGCCCTTATCCTCACGCACCTAATGAGACAAGCAGAACGTGG